AATAAAAAAAAAAAAACAAAAAAAAAAAAAAAAAAAAAAAAAAAAAAAAAAAAAAAAAAAAAAAAAAAAAAAAAAAAAAAAAAAAAAAAAAAAAAAAAAAAAAAAAAAAAAAAAAAAAAAAAAAAAAAAAAAAAAAAAAAAAAAAAAAAAAAAAAAAAAAAAAAAAAAAAAAAAAAAAAAAAAAAAAAAAAAAATTAAATTATCATCGATTCATGATCTCATCCGAGTATGCTCAGATTTGTGGTTTTCTAATCCTACAATAAGGAAACCTAGTCGGACTTGAGGGTTGACGACGATGACATGCCTGCAGGTATTGCGATTGGCAAGCGCAAACTTAACTTTTCCCAAAAATGTGGTCATAAATTCGAAAAACAATCAGAAGTTAACAGCCTCAATACTATCTGCCTAATAAGGGCCATTTAATAGTCTCAGATTCGAGCCATTTTCTATTCTTTCGGAAGTTATGGCAAAGCGGTGGATTACGTCGTATTCTTCGCCTGCATTGTCGATGTGCAAAAATACAAGGCGTTATTTTACGATTCTGCATCCGAAAAATAGTGTTTCCAGACACCCGCTTTACTTTTTCGCAACGAAACGAATCCCAAGTAGTCGCGTTACGAGGGATTTTTCTGGACAGAAATGCTCATTATTTGCGAATAGAGAGCAAAGATCACAGCAAGGCTAATAGCTTTGAAAAATAATCTAAGACACCCTGCTTTATACAGCAGGATTGTGACAAGATTTGGGAAGTGTTTGTAGCTATCAGCACATGCCAGGAGCAGTTTGCTTCTTATTTCTGATCATCATTCTGTTCTACTTTTACAATGCATTCAATTGTTTCGTCAATGGAGGAAGTAACAGCAAAATAGGAGTGAGGAAATCGGAATCCCAAGAGTGGAATGATTCGCAAGTGAAGAGCAATAAAAGCTAAGTATTGCAGCTGTCACCAATACGCCAAAACGGCTAAGGTCATTAAGTGATAAGCAAGCCGGAATTGATTACAGAAACATCGACAGTGGTCTGGCATGTTCTATTGGATACTTTCGCAAGGTTTGAAAGTTATATTACACTTTTAAACCGCTACAATGTAGAGGTTAAGCTGCTTATAATCGGCACAGGTCAATCAACTTCTGGTGGATGCACTTTCGCATGGATAATTTCCATTGTGTGAATCAGCCCTGAACAAAATACAACAGCAAAGTTTAGTTCTTCATCATGACCCGATTTTTCGGCTCCTTTCGAATGCCACAGTTGAGTACACTCGGCGAAGTGAGCGCTGTCAGTGCAGTAAATGCGTTGTTCACGGTTAGCTCAGTCAGATTTGTCACG